ATCATTTCAGAAAAAGTTGCCATCCGCATGGTTATTGAGAAGCAGATAATTAGGCTCTCGTGCACACATTACTTCCCTTGAAGCTCCATCGTTTCTTCGTTAAAGCCGTGAGATAGCATACTTTAGTTGTCCGCATAACGTAAACGTGGAAGAACAACTTGCGGCGTAAATAAAAAAACCATTTCCTATCATTGTTTACGCTCAATTTGAAGTCTTGCATTATTTGAAGTTTCCGTGAAGATAAAGGTAAAGACAGACCTGCATGGACTCCCTCTGTAAGGCACAGTGTTCACGTTGTATTGTCGCCTTCAACTTATATTTTTGCTTCAACGAGTGTGTCTTGAAGGGATTTTCCCTTTTTGTTTAAGGAAATTATCGGATGTTTTGAGAAAATTGTTTTAAACAAGGGTTGATTGTGTATCAGACTCCAATGTTCAATCAATACCGGGTGGTTCGGTGTGACAAAAGGTAATCAACATTCGTGACCATTTGGCTTTTGTGTATGTGTAAGAGCCGATTGTCTAGAGGTAAAGTTGACCCGGACAAAGACCTTTCTGTAATGCTTTCTGGGTACCCGCTAACTCTGAGGTGTTGTTTGAATTTCAAAAGGCTTTTATATAGTAATATTTTTGCTATATCTATTTTCAAAGCACCGATAGTAAAAAACACGCAGAAAAGGGTTAATGAGATCATTGCCCGAATGGCAGTGATTGGGGCAAACACATTAATGACATGCCTAAGAAATGGCTTTCACAAACTCCCAATCCGCCTGGATACATAATCAGCCCTTGCTGAAAACAATTTTTTATATAGCATCCAATCATCTCGTACAAAAGGGAAAAATCTCTTACGACACGCTTGTGAGAGCAAAAATAGACCAAAACACAATTTGAAGGCGGTAGTGCGACGCGACCACAAAAGCCATGGGGAGTCCGTGCTGGTCTGTCTTTACCTTTATTTTCACGCAGAAGACACGACCACGACGCACTTTGATTGAAAGAAATAAAACCGCATTCTAGTCGTTACTGGGCGTGAGGACGTAACTGCAACGGAAGACACAACAACAACGCTACATTTGTAGTCTTTCCCACTCCACTTGGTCCACCACCCCTGCTTCACAAGCGTGAACGAGAAGGACTGGGAATGACACTGCGACAAAATGGCGGAAGAAGTTGAATTTGTGAGCGATAAAGATATCCCGCATTTGAAGAAACGTGGAGTACGACTGGCAGGTATGGATTTTTAGTGAAAATATTCACGAAATATGTATAAGCTGCTTCAATATACCTTAGCAGGAGTCAGTACAGTCGCGTCAGTGCTAGTAAATTCAAGGACTGTGAAAACTTGCAGTACATTCCGTAACTTACATGTATCTTACCCACCAAGTAACAAAGTAACTGTTGTTAAAGTCTCATTCCTCAAGTTATTCACCCAAATACCCTTAATGTTCTGATGAAATAGCCTTGTATATAAATTCCTGACAGCTTCTCTCTAGCTATCGGTGATGCATCATGACTGGTCATGATTGATAATACAGCTCTGAAGGTTCCAGTTATTATTCTCTTTTTTCAATATTCAGATGCCACACCGGTCAGTGGATCAACGCTGTTTGGTTTTCATACTCCTAAGCGTCGTGGTGCATTAGCTGAGGCTGGTAAGGTTATTAAATGTTGCTGGTCAAACGAGGAGTCAAGAAACAAGAAAATTAGATTGAGTTTAGTGAAACATGCACTGACCCGGTCTTTGCTGGGTTTTAAGTCGCCATCCACCCAAATTCACTTTATCATACGTATCACATTTTGGCAAAAATGCAAAGGTTTATCCATGGAACTAATTCTTTAAATTGACTGATAGCAATTATTGTACTAAATGATCATCTTACCACCCAGTCACTAATTATGCAGCCTGGTTTGAAAGAAATCCCTTAAATAAGATTTGGTTTAATTGGGGTCTACTTTGGTTCTCACTTGTCACAGGAAAGGAAGTGGTTTGGGCAGGGCTGCCACTTAAAGCTGTTAGTTCTCATGATTTATGTGGAAGAGTCTTCCATAAATCCAACTTTTTCTTAGGTGTGAGGCACTTTGAAGGAAAGAAAAGAAAATGATGGAAAAACCAAACAGCAACTACAAAGAAAAAGAAATAGGCAGCATGTGGGATTATGTTTGATTTACCAACAAAGTCATCAATTTTAAACACAAGAAGTAATTGTTAGTTTTTTTTTCCTAGCATTGTCAGCAATTCACAACAAAAATCCAGTTCACCACGCTCAGAATGCACTGCCACAGGATAGGAGGAAAACTCCAAAGAGCAGTGAAAAAAGCAAAGGTGTATGTCTGATATCTTCCCCAACTTGATTCCAATCTTTTCTAGTAGTTAAATGACATAAAATTGTTTTGAAGCAATATTCCTAGTGCCATATGGAAATCTTTTTTAGCATCATTGCAACAGAATATGACAGGTATCATTTTATTTTTGCTTCAACCAGTTGATGATTGGTGAGGTAAGCTAAAACTGCGATATAAAGGCTGATAGTTTCGAAAGAAACTGTTTGGGGCTGCATCGGTGGGAGTAACGAAATAATTTGGATATATCAACAAAGTTGAAATGGTAAATTAGCCACTGTGAAAGGCAGGTATCACTGTAGAACTGTGATACCTGCCCTT